TCAAAGGTAATCACACATTTTGTTGTTGTTATTTTATCTCTAAAACTCGCGAAAACTATATAGATTACGTCAAGCGATAAAATAATGGGTTTTTGATAAGGTTTTTGTTTCCTTCTTACGAACCAATTTATGGTTCTTAAAATATTTTGTTTGATGTAACATTATAAAAAAAAGAGTTGAGAAGCTGTGGAAGGCGAGCGAGACGGTAGGAGTCGCAGTGTTAGACAGTGGAGAAATGGTGAACGGTTCGGTGATGGTTCCCGTGCTTAAATCGAAGTTAGGGAAGGCATTGTTATCCACTGCTCCAGGAGAGGTTATCTTGGCTTCACTCGATTCTTTTAGTAAGTTACATACAATAGCTCAATTAATTGCCACTTTGGTAGTATCATGTTCATTAATAATGTTTTTGGTGTCAAAATTATAACAAATAAAACAGATATAATGTTTGATGTGGTCCAATAGATAAAATACTTGGCGCTGCTGAAGCTGCAGAGATACAAACTCACACTGCGACATCGACATCGGTGGCTGCTACTAAACTTGTTACTAAGAGGTAAATTTCACTTTGTTATCCCCAAATTTAAGATTGATGAGTTCAATGTTTAGTAGTATCCATGGATGTGGCAGAGTGATTTGAATGTAACATGCTTCTACATTTTTGCGAGAATCGCGCCACAGTTTTGGAGAAAATGCGGGGAAAACTACAGGAGAAGTGCTAGAAACAACCGGCAGTTTAGGCCGAACCGCATGGAATATTCAAAAAGCTCTCGACCCAACTTTTGCCATCTCAACAGAGATTGTCAAAATTGCTCCCAAAGAGTGATATGGACTTGCATGTTAAAAAATGCGTTACATTTTCATATGTTCATAATGTATGTCTTGGTTTGACTATGAGCATAAAATTATGCTAAGTGTGTAAGAAATTTCACCAAGTGTTATAATCAAAGTTACGAATCGGTTTTTCAAACCAATCATTTCGTTTCGGTTCAAATCACATTGGATCGGTTTGTCCGGATTGAATGACTGTCTCCAAGAACCAGCAACATACTACAGTACTACTGTCTCTCTCTCCACCAAGTAGACAATTTCCCGCCAGGCAAATCTCTAAGGGCAATGTCTGGTTCAATCCGAGATTGAAACACACTCATGAATCACTCCAATCTTGCAATTCCAACCCTCTCCCTCACCGTAACCCTAATCCCCAAACACCCAATTCGTCATCTCCCACCTCCAATTCCTAGTCGGAACTTTGCAAGCCCTAGCCTTTTCTTTCCTCTCCGGCTTAATGAGACTCCGCCTTGTCTCGCCGCGAAAAGGGTTGTTCGGGTTAGAGCCACCGTCGACGGTGACGGAAAAACCGGTAACTGGGTTAACCGGTTGCCGATTCCAGGACTCGGAGCCGAAAATGTCTTCAGATTGATTTCGAGCGCGACGGGAAGTCCCATCGGACAGTTCATATCTTCCCCTGTCACATTCTTACATTCGGTTGATCCCAGGATCAAATTGGTAACTCAAATTTTGCTTCTTTATCGGATTTGTTGATTACAATTGGCCGTTCATTGTTTAGAGTTCTTGATTGTTGTTTGATTCGAAGACTGTAAAATACAATATTCCTCATTTTGTTCTGAACCTCTTAGAGAGACAGGTTTGTGATGTATATATATAAAAGCTTGTTGTTTCCTGTGCTATGCTGAACTTGGTATTTGCATATTTGCAGGTATGGTTATTAACTCTTGTAGTTCTTCCTGCAAGAGCGAATATAGTTGTTCGTTTAGGACTTGTTGTATGCACAGCTCTTTTGTCAATCTGTGTTCTTCCTAGGCAAGTGTGGATGGTGAGTTCTTTATCTCTGTCACAAGCCTGTCTCTATGTGATAGATTTATCGAGTTTTTATCTAAGTCTAATTCGGTTTTGGCATTTGATTTTTGGAATGTTGCAATGAAATTGTCATGTGTATGGAGTTCTTGAGTTTAATATATAGACAATGCGTATCCCAACTTCTTGTAATTACGAGTTGCTCTTCTTTGTGCTTGGCCTAATTACCGTCTTGTGATCTATCTTCTGTGCTGAGTTTCCTAACTTCGTCATGTAACAGGATCAATTGGCGAGAGTGTCACTTCTTTCTGGAATCCTCYTCATAACTCTGGGGCTAGGTTCAGATGGTGCACCCGCAATGCTTCAATCAAGAACCCCACCATCTGCAGTCACAAGCATGCCCAATCTTCCCATGTCTTTGAGCGGTTATTCGTACATGTTACTGAAGCTTGGGCCTTTGCAATTCACAAGGAAAGGTTTGTCTGTTGGAAGCACAGCTGCATGCTTAACCTTTATTGTAAGTCGGTTTTCTACTTCCACGGCTTCTCCTTTTTGTGTCTTTTACTAGATTACCTAATGGAACATTTTGTTTTTTGTCACAGATCTTCCAAAGTGCTAGTATTTGCCTTGCAACCACAACACCAGAGCAACTTGCGCTAGCTCTGCGTTGGTTCTTGTTCCCGTTGACATATATCGGTGTTCCAGTTGGTGAAATTATCCTCACACTCCTGCTTTCACTGAGATTCATCAATTTGGTTTTCGATGAGGTAAAGACTTTTCACTTTTTCTTTCTATATATATCTCCCGGCTTCAAACCAAGATTATCAATCAGCTTAGCTATTTCGAGTTCCTAACCACGTAGTATGCTGTGCATATATTACCTTAAAGGTCAGAAGTGTTGCGCTGGGCATTGTATCCCGAAGAGTAAACTGGCAGCAGCTTACTGCTCTGGAGACACTTGATAGTAAGAATCTAATCTTCTCTCTTTTTATGATTTTTCTGAGTCTTTCCAGAACTCAAGTTATAAATGACTGCTTTTGTAGTTTTCGCTTCTTTCATTCGCCGGATCTTCAAGAATATATTTCGCCATGCCGAGCAAATATCGCAGGTGAAATAGATTTCAGTTACCCTTTTTTCATTTTCTATTCTCCAAGTTTTTATTTTCTTGTGTGGTGAATAGAAAATCCGAGAGAAACTCTACCGTTATTTGAAACTCAAATAAGGACTCTGTGTTAAAGAAATATGTATTTTCTGTTTATGTGCAGGCTATGATTGTTAGAGGCTTCAAAGGAGAGAGCAGTAGCCACAAGATCTACTTCTTCTCGGGTTCGTCAAATAAGATTGCAGATTTTGCATCAGTCTTGTGTTTAATTGGTGTAATCTCAACCGCACTCTTGTCCGAATACTATCTTGTCTAATATTATTACTGATTGTTTCAGTCTAAACTTTCTTTCACACATTAAACATCTATAGTAACACTTTCTTTATTTTTTGAGGTAAAACAAAAAATTAAAGGTAAAAATAAAGACTCATACATTCGAAGTAGGTAACTGGAAACGGCAAAGAGGACATGAATTGGCAGTCTTAAGCCAGCCTTGAAGACACTGCTTATGGAAGAGATGAGAGCAAGGCATACGAGTTGCTTCCTCCCCAATAAACATATCCTCCTTGCAAATCGTACACAAGCTCATCTCATGTCCAAGCACATTCACAGTCTCTAGTTCCTCAACTATTTCTCTATCCGCTGGCTTTGGACCTTTACGCCATGAGAGTTCCATCTCGATCGCCTCGTTGCTAGCCTCTATAGCTCTCTGCTCCAACTCCGACTCAACCAGAGTCACACCAATCTCTCTCAACGCCTCTTTGATGCTTTCCATCCATTGTGACACCGATAGTAGATTCTCGTTTCTTTCTACACGAGTCTTGATCAGTTCAGAGATCTTAACGTTGATCTTGCCACGAAGCTCATCATCTCTTCGTTCTTGAAGAACCTTCTCGTATTCCACCATTGGTATCATGATTTGCTTCGTGATATTAGCTGTTAAAGGCACAAATCTTCTTCTACAATGCGACCACTTGTTCGTGTTCTCCACCAGGTAATCAATAAAGCTCCCGATAACACCATCTTTCTCGCAGGATCTCAAACCAACCAACGACGCTATCTCTTGGATCTCACTTGATAAAACCTCATAAACCTCTGCGTAATTTGGTGTGGTCTCTGAGAGAAGAGACAAAGGTAGACGAAAACAGTGTCTCTCATCTTTTTCTGGAACAGTATATGTCAGTGTCTTCCCACTCCATTCATGCTCGCTTCTATATTCAACAACAATCTTGAATTCTACCAACAACTCAGCCTCGCCCTTGTCCGTTGTTTCACCGATTGGCTTCTCTAAGAAGTTACACTCGAATCTAGCCGGGGCTGATGATACACTACACGTAAAACAACACCTTAGCCATGGACCATAAGTCTTGGTCTTAAACTCACTAGTTAAAGCTCTCTCCTTTGGTGTTTTTCCACAATCAATATGATCAATTTTGCCGCAGGCTTCACAGAAGTTCCCTAACTTCTCATATCTGAACTTAACAAAGTGAGGCTCACGTTGATCTCCAATAAAAAACCCAGCTTCCAATGGTTTTCTAAGATCTACTTCGACTCTAACCCCAAAATATCTTTGAGACCAATTAATGTACTCACAAATCAGTGGCTTATCACTCAACCTCTTCGCTATCTTCACAAACTCTTGTCTTGTGTAGTGAAACAAGAGCAAACCCTCTACCTTGACCCAGAAGCAAGCCACTGAGAAATCAATGTTGGATAAAGAGGTCCCTAACGGATATTCCTTGAGTACCAAGATAACTCCATCGACGTTCCAGGGTCCTTCCTTTAGAACCTTTTTAAGGTCTTGTTCTTCCACGAAATCAAACAAGATTATCTCTTCATCGAAAGGAGTGACCTTGAAACCACCGGAGAGGAAAGAACTCCATTGGTCGTGTAGTGAGGTTTCAACATTGTTGATGGATGGTGGAGGGAGGCTAGTGAAGAATTTTCCGGCGAGAGTGAGCATTATTGGATCATCAAATAGACTATCGAATGAGAACATCGAACTTTTGTGTCTCTTTGGCGTTCTATGATGTTTTAGTACTTGATTATATAGACCAAAACAAATCCTTAGTTTTCATGAGGAATTTGATTCTGATCTTTGCTTAAATTAAAAGTTGTATCAAATCAAGTTGGAAATTGACAAATTGTGTGTGAGACACGGAAATATCGAGTTTAATTTCTCCAATATTTTTTTTTATTTCCATTTTTACAACAAAAAAAGGGAACTTTTTTTATTTCCATTTTTACAATAAGCTTTAAACTCATTTAAAAACCAAAAACTAGAGGGATTTAAACTGATTTTTTGTTTTTTTGGTTCTTCCTCATTTTTACATTTGACCCAAATATTTATTTGTTAATCCATAAAACAACAAATTTATAGGTATCAATTAACCGCAAATTATAGATGAGGCTTTTAGATTAATCCAATTT